CTCAACAGACAAGTAATTCAGAATCTGTCTTTATTGACGATCGGGTGAAAACAGTGAAAATCATGAGGTATTCAGCAACATTTCGAGGCCGATCTGAAATTCACCGCAGTCCAAAACGAAGGAAAAGTGTAAATTAATTAAACGGAAGAAGTTTCCTCTCTGTAAACACAAAATGATAGGCTTACGATCACGCCTGTCAGTTCTATTTAAATTTATTAGGCGCCGACAGGCCTCATAGCATTCCACCTTATAAACACGTTTGTCCCTACGACGTCCTCATCGTGGAAATCAAGCGAAATCCACTTTCTCTTGTTGAACCCCATCTCATTTAACTCAAATGATTCAAGGATAACATGAATCCCTGGAAACATGTTTTGGAATCTACGCCGAGCATGTAGGCAGTTAACAAACCGTCATATATGAAATCAAACTACTTATTAAGCGAAATGCGGATGTAAACTTCACTAAAACAATATTACTAGACATTATTTTATGTCTACTTTCATATTTACTAAGTTTTTGGTACGAGAATAGATTCTATACACCTAAAAACGAAGTTTACTAAATAAGAGCCATTTCTGACTTTTTCGGGATATTGCGCTTTTCAAAATAAATCGGCATTTCTAAACAACGCAAAACTGCCTTTAATATTTCTTATATGTTTTTAATTCTTTTACACATGTACATAATTAATATAGACCTTGGACCCATGAAATGGCGTCGGGTTGCGCGTGATTGGCAATCATTCGTAAATTTCGACACATTTCATGAGTCGCCATGTCTGCTGGCAGTTGCTTGTTCCCTGTAAGACGCTTCAGCACTTTATCAATGGATAAAACTGTGATATGGTAGAGTGTGCATAAAGTGGTTTATGGGTAGATCTATCTTCTAACCATAACGTTACCTTCTTATTGTAGTCTGCTTTGTTCAAAATTGAAACTGAGCCTCCTTTGTCCGCGGGGAGAATGAGAATATTTTTGTCAGTTCGTAGACTCTTTAGAGCATTTTTTCTTCATTTGATTGTGCTGAAAAGTGACTCCGATCTTTTGAGACTAGTACTGTGCTGTTTCGAATAGTTAACCGTTCGTCTTCCGTGAAGTTTGCTGTCGAAATTATGGACTCTAAACTTGCAAGAAAGTCCAGATAGTTTGAGTTGGAAAGATTTACTTCAGCCCCTTGGAAAGCACACTCTCTTCTGTTGTTGTAAGCGTTCTTGAGGAATGATTTACGACCTTCTTTGATTACTTCTGGTAGCATCGGTCTGTTGTGAAATGGCCATTCCCTTTCTGTCTAAAATGCTCCCCTTTTGTTGTCGTTCGAGCTCGAAGACACGTGTACTCATGTTGTTTAAGGATTCACATAGGTGTAAAGGAAGTTGGTCACGGCAAAACTGCATGTGCTGCTCTTTAGAGACTTGGCATTTTCGAAGTCGGTAGTGGACATCGGTTATGAACGCACCAAGCCTTCTTCGGCTGTAATGAGATGTGGTTTGATATCCCAGGGCAGATTTAACGGCTGGGTTCAGACGCACAGACTTTGGCAAGATCTTCCTGTTTCGGCATCTGTGTAGGAACGTTAGCTGTGCTGGCACATTTGCTCTCTGTCTGACGACGACCCGGGAAACCGACGTCGAAAATTTGCCAAATAAAGTTCATTTTCCCAAAGAAAACATTTGACTTCAACAATGATATATATTGAATAGCTGAGGTAGTGTGTATTCCGAGATAATATGATGAAGAAAAAAGGCTCGTCGGAAAAAATCGAGTTGTACTCGTGAATTTTGGAGCTGGTGACACCAAACCGTCGTCAGACGAAATAAACAGGGGAGAAAGTGAAATGGTCGGACTAAACTGGCTGGCGTGACAGGGCCATCCACTGGCAGGCGAACAACTAACGTATTAAAGGGGGTGGAAACCTAATTAGGTTAGGATCTGTGGCAGGGGAAGGAAGGGTAAATTGTTGCGGCTCCCTGTATTGGAGGATAGGGGGATGACGATTCGATGGGACTACGGACAGTGGACTTAGTGGTTGCCGATCCGGCATGCGGGCAGAGGTCAGTGAACCAACGTAGTTGTGTTAGGGGTTGCAGTTGCGGTTCTCTGTGTCTGGGGTAGGGGGTGGCGAAATAGTGAGATTCTACATGGTCCAAAATGGGTTAGCGACTGTTGTTAGGTCGTGGGTGCAAGCCAGTGGGCCGGGCACGCAGGCCTTCTATATCTTGATTGAAGGGAAAATGCGCGTTGTAGAACATAACTGAGAAGAATAGACCGATCACAGGAGCCATGTTTTTGTCGGCCTGACGTTTCGAAGGAAAACAAGCAAGAAGAAAAACCCTCAAATAATGTGACGTCTTGTAAGTAAACCATCTCCGATTATGGGTGCTTGTTTGCTTTCGAAACCTCAAGCCAATAAAAACATGGTTTCTGTGATCGCCTTATCTTCTCATATACATTTATTGCTGAGAATTGCTGAACTACAATACCTTCGACGGGTATTCAAAGCCAATGGATACCTGCACAACTTCACCAACCGGTGCATACACAAAAAGTACGAAAGGGCAAACCGCACAGACACCAAATTTTGGAGAACATTTCCATACGTCAAGAACGGTTCGAAAGCCGTCAGCCGCCTTCTCGCACCACTTGGGGTTGGAGTCGCACACAGACCGGAGGCAACCAGCAGGCGTCAGGTAATGAAACCGAAAGACCCGCTGCCACGGCAAGAAACATTTGGAGTCGTTTATCGGATCTGGTGCAGTTGCGGACAAAGCAACTGCGTCGGAGAAACTGGAAGACAGCTCCGAGCGCGAATGGCCGAACAAGCCGCAGCAGTGCGGAGAAATGACGCCAGCTCTCAAGTTGCGGCTCATTCGAAGAGATCCGGTCACACATTCAAATCCGACGAGGCCGAAATTCTCGCTAGAGTTGACAACCGCCTGGGCCGCGAACTGCTTGAGTCACGGTTCATTGTCCCCCAGTCTATCAACAAGTGCAACGACCTGTCCCTTCGATACTCGGCGCTGAGACTTTGCCTAGGCTGAGTAATTAGCCACGCGGAGAGCGCACAGGCGAACACTGTTCCTAACGCCAGGGTCGGTGGGTCAGATGGTCGAGCAATCATCCCACCAATATTCAGCACCCGTGACGCAATTGCAGTAATTAACGACACAAATGTCGGCCATCAAACAGTCATCACAGCAAGTGCAACGATCCTTGATGAAGGGGGAGAGCCGTGAATATTCATAGGAATGCGGTAGCATGGCGACGACATTCTATAAATGTCGCAGCCCCTTGTGCATGAACCACCCGTATCTGCTATTGTCTCTGATGATGGGTTCGAGCAGGAAACCGAAACATCGGGCAAATAAAGTTCTTATCCCCGTGATCGCGTCTCCTTCTGCACGACTACTTCCTGGGACTCGTGTCTTCGTTTCCACTGGCAAATTAATACGGGTCTGCCAAACCGCTGTCGGTGGTACTCGATATGCATGTCGGAAGCGAATTCACCGATGGGGTTACGGGACAGGCTCATCTCGATGTTCTCTGGCAGTCGCACAGCGGTTAGTAGTGTAGGCAAAATTAAATTACCGACCAAGACAAAGGAGACTGGGATTGCTATTTCTGGCTTACAAGCCGTCGTCTGTCAGTATTACCTAACCCCAGGTTTGGTTGTACCTTAGGTTTGGACCAGCATCCTTTTGGTAACTACTTCGACGCTTTAACTATTGAGCCACGGACTCGGTGTCCTGTCAGTTGCAATCGAGAATACTCACTATTTTGGAAGTGTGTTCGGTGATCGGGTTACGGCGTTAATGAACATGATTTCCCAAATCCTTTAACACGAGGATCACAATTCAGCAAGGTCGACCTCGGTTTGTTCTACTTTTTGAACTGTGCACAGTCTTTCCTTCAAACATTAAATAGCCCTATTTCGCATGTTGCGCGGTTTACCATTCCGAGAACACAGGTACTCTCTAACAGCGCAGACACCTATCTCGCCGATATTCTGCCGCATCATGACACAGCTGCGACGGGTTTGGCTCATTAGTGCGTCCCTCAACATTCTCCGGTTGTTTTCGGGTAGACACTTCAGTTTTGGCATTTCGGCCTTTCAACCTCCTCAAAAATTAGTGCGTTCACTTGGAGTAACCCATTCTAAATGAAGCCTTATAGGTTCGATCCGAAAGTTAACGCAAACATCTCAGCCGAAATCCATCAGTTTCAATGAAATAACCCCTGATATTCACAGACTGCTAACAGGGAGTCAGTAGCATGCACATGTTGCGTAATTCACCATAATGACCGCGCAGCTACTTGTTAAAACACCTTTTATCCTCTAGTCTTCCTCCTCTGCGCGCCTTTCGAATTCGGTTTCGAATTTTCGACCTCCGAGGGATTTGCCTTTTCCGGGATTTCTGCCTACTGGACGCATCGCGGGCCCATTTGGATTAAGAAATTGAAGCTTAATCAGCAATTCCTCTAACGATCCACACGGAACTCCGACAGAACTTTCTTTGGAACGACCATACTCCTTCGTATCAATTCTCTGCCAACAGCACCGCGGGACTCTCCTGATCCAAGAGCGGCTGAGTCGTTTGCTATTTGCTTCATATTGTTGGCTTGGTTAAAAAGCTTCTCATACACCTTTAAATACTTCGTCCCGTACCTAGAATACCTTGCATATCCTTCGAATTAATAATGGGAGTCGACAAAACACCATCAGGACAATGTGCAAAAAACTCGCCCCAAGTGGGATTCCAACCCAGATCCCGTCGTGGGGTGAGCAGCGTGATCACCACTACACTATCGGCGCATGGTGAACGGGCTGAAATAAATAAAGGAGTAAACATTATTCGTAGTACAAATGACTGCAACTCTGTATATATCGCTGTCAAGTCACCTCCCGCTAAACGAGCAAGGAGTCTAGTAAGCTGTATGGATACCAAATACGAAGACAAAGCCTGTACGACATGGTTCGGACTCCTTCAAAAATTTGCGGAAATGGAGAGGGAGATAAAGGGCCTTAAAGTGGAGATGGAGAAGCTGAGGAATCTCCCTCGCTATTCATCCAAAGAGAATGAAAGCGAGCGAACATACGCAAACACGGCTTCCTCGGCTGTGTCGACGGAGGAGGAAGAAAATAGTAGGTCGCTAGAGCTTGATAGGAATGACACCCAGTGTCTTGTGCGAAAAAAGTGCGATCAGACGCGATCTCAGCGAACAAAAAGAAATCTCAGGGTACCTCGAAAAGGCACAGAGAGTCAGACGAGGGAACAAGAGTTGGCTACGCCGCACACGAAAATCGCGCCGCTGAAAACGAAAAATGATCAAAAGATCGTAGTAAACAGGCAGTCATGCGTTAGTCCTGCTGAATCAAACCTTCCTAAATCGGTGGAAGGTTGTAGCCGGGATGCACGCGATGAAGACTCTGTAGGTATGATTATACCACAAGGCCGTCTAGTGGATCGCAGTAAATGCATCGTTATAAAGGGCATGCCTGAGTCTGTTTCCGACGCTCCAAAGGACAGAATACAGCATGACATACAAATATTCCAGGAATATCTCAAATCGATCTTAATAAGAGACGAAAAAGTCACAGTATTAAAGGCTTTCAGGATGGGCAAAATTAAAGACTCAAAACAAGATCCAGACCGACCGAGACCGTTAAAAACTGTCTTTGAGAATGACGAACAAGCGCAGCTACTTTTGAGCAGGAAAGCTGCGCTTAAACACGCCCATCCATCAGTTTTTTTTCAGCTGGACTTTTCACCTGCGGAGCGAGAAAAATGGAGGGGGCTCAAATTGGAAGTGCTCAGGCGGTCGAGTCTGGGCGAGACAAATCTCCGAATAGTGGACGGAAAAATTATACGCGTCCAGACGCCATTCCTCTGGAGAAAGCCCATAACTCTAACAGCTTAGGAATGATGGAAAGCAGTTCATCCCGATCAGCTCCGACCGGCTTTTGCATTCAATCCCAAGAAATGGATAAACGTCAGTATGCCGGAGTTGCTCGTGCCAAATTGAGATTTTTGTATACCAATGTTCAAAGTCTCGTTTCGAAAATCGACGAACTCAAAGCGATAGTACCGAAACGAATCCCCGACGTCATCGCCATAACGGAAACTTGGCTTAATGCCGAAATAATGGATGTTGAGATTTCGATACCGGGTTACCAGCTGTTTCGTAGAGACCGTCAAAATAGGCAGGGCGGAGGGGTAGTCGTATATGTAAGGGAAGGAATTTCAGCAGTTGAAAGAGCCCACACCCTCTCCCTTGAATATGAATCCGTCTGGATAAAGATAAAGAAGAGCAATGCACAAAATCTAGAATTTCTGGCGATTTAGAGACCACCAAATCTTCTGAGTGCAGCTGATGAGTCGCTCCTTGGTTTAGTCAAAGACGTAGCTAGCCACCAAGAGGTACTTATTGCTGGGGATTTCAACGCATCTGCAATAGAGTGGGAAACTATGGCAGTTAACGGTGGACCAGCCTCTTTCAGCAATAAGCTACTGGACCTCACACTCGATCTCCCTCTGGCGCAACATGTGAAGGTACCAACAAGATTTCGAGAGAACCAGAGAGCAAATTGTCTAGACCTAGTGTTCACTAAAGACTTCTCTAATATCGACGAAGTGTATTCCAATGCACCTCTCGGGAAAAGTGACCATACTACGCTACTATGGGATTACTCGCTCTTCTCTAAACGCCAGAAGACAACAGAGGGCCAACCTAATATATGGAAGGCAGATTTTAATATGATGAAGAACGAATTGCTGTCCGTGAATTGGGACCAAATACTCAGGGGAGATCCGGAGGACGACTGGAGATCTTTTAAGACGATTTCACTCGATCTGATTAGGCGCTGTTGTCCACCTAAAGTACAAAAAACAACTAGTCGACCTGCTTGGTTAACTAGGGACCTAAATAGGCAGCTACGGAAGAAAAGCAAAAGATGGAAAATATTCAGGGAAACTGCGTCCCCAGCGCATTTCGAAGAATTTCGTCGTCAACGAAATGCCGTCAGAAAATGTATCCGTCAGGCACGGAAGGAGTATGAATCCAAAATTATACGACAGGCTGAACAGAAACCTAAGATTTTATTTCACTATCTGAACAGTAGACTGAAAAATAAGGACCCGGTCGCGGTGCTGAAGTATGGTAATGGTGTGGAGATCACTGTGAACAGCGAGAAAGCCGAACACTTAGGACAGTATTTTGCCTCGGTTTTTACTTGAGAAACAGAGTTTCGCAGTCGCAGTGCTAACAATGCTGTTGAGACTGCTGATCGCGTGCTTGACTCCATACTGTTCCCGACAGCTGTCGTGGAAAGGGAGCTGAAAAATCTCAAGGAAACAAAGTCCTCGGGTCCGGACAATATACCGGCCAAATTCTTGAAGGAACTGGCGAATGAACTTTCCAAACCACTGGCGCACATCTTCCGCTCGTCATTCGAATTAGGGAGGTTGCCATCGGAATGGAAGACAGCAAATATCTTTCCGATATACAAGAGCGGGGCTCGCACTAATGCTAACAATTACCGGCCTGTTAGTCTAACCTGCATCTGCTGTAAAATAATGGAGGCCATTGTTAAGAAAGCAACTATGGAGTTCCTGGAGCAGGGCCATTTAATCTCAGACCTGCAGCACGGCTTTAGACAGAACCGCTCGTGTCTTTCCAGTTTATTGCTCTCGACGGAGCAGTGGACTCGCGCACTGGACGAGGATGGGAGGGTTGATGTCATATACACAGACTTTAAGAAGGCGTTCTACAGCGTCCCACACAAACGCCTTATCTACAAACTTTCTGAAACTGGGATAAGAGGAACGCTGCTGACATGGATAACAGATTTTCTTACCGGGAGATCGCAAACCGTGTGCATTGAGGCCTCAAGGTCAACTCCTACTCCCGTTCTAAGTGGTGTAACCCAGGGCTCCGTCTTACAGCCGTTGCTATTCCTGGTTTACATTAACGACTGCGTCGACGACCTGGGATGCAGCGCCATCATGTTTGCTGACGATGTTAAGCTGTGGAGACCCATCAGATCTGATGCAGACAGGTACGCGCTTCAAGACAGTCTCAACCGTCTGAACAGTTGGTCAGCTCGCTGGCTCCTCAATTTTAATGTGGACAAATGTGTGGTCCTGAGACTCCGCACCAGACGGACCAGTAAGGAGGACGATTCCTTTCAGTACGTCCTTGTTGGTCAGCCCCTTTCAAATGTTGTGGAACAGAAAGACCTGGGCGTCCTACTGACCTCCTCGCTGAAACCATCTTCACAGTGTCGAAGGGCAGCCAAAAGTGCGATAAGGGTGTTATTTGCGCTGAGGCGAGGATTTGTGCAGATCGATAAACAGCTGTTCGGAAAAACCTATGGGGCATTCGTCCGGTCTCACTTAGAGCATGCAGTCCAGGCCTGGCGACCGTGGTTGAAGAAAGATTATCAACGACTGGAAAGAGTACAGGCGATGGCTACGAAGATGGTCAAGAATCTTCATCATTTGCCTTACGAAACCAGGCTGACCGAACTAAATCTGTTTCCTCTAAATTACAGGCAACTGCGTGGCGATCTCATTCAAACCTACTGGATTGTCAGAAACCGTGAGTGTGCCCTAGACTTTGATGATTTTTTTGAATTGGCCCGGACTGACTGTCTGCGTGGTCATCCCTTCAAACTGCAAAGGAAGCGGGCTCATTCGGACGGCCGACGGAACGCAGTCTCTCACAGGGTCATCGGGGCATGGAATGGACTCCCTGATGCCGTCGTTCTTTCCGAAAGTGTCAAATCCTTTAAGTGCAGACTAGACGCTCATTTGTTGAGAACCTACTGTACATACAATAATGATTGTTTTAGCGGCGGCAGTTTGCGCCTAGCTCACACTTACCGCTAACTTCTTAACTTTTCGCATTTGCTGATGTAATTGATGACTTTCTTTCTGTTTATCGATATGAATAGGGAGCTCAAGGGCGAAAGCCTCATTCCCTTAATAAACTGACTAAACTGACTTAGACTTAAAAAATTCCTACAGACCGACAGAATTGTCTTAAACACTTATCGGCACGTTTTGTCCCAGTTCCGAAGAATCCCTTTTCCCGTTTCTGATATTGGCTGAAAATATCTGAAATGAGGCAATTTATGTTAATGACTTTTCTTATGCTCAACTTAGAAAAGTAAGCCTTTGGCCCCAATTCACTCTCTTCGCTCGCCTAGAGCGTACTTTTAGCTGCTGAAGAGGCAAAGCAAAGACATGTCAAAAGCCTCTCAATTATATTTATTTCTTCATGAGTAATTGTTGTTTCGAATCGAGTGAATGTAAATAACTTCAACCTCAGTAGCGACAGGTTTTCTCCAAAACACTCAATGCTTGTCCTTCTATATGGTTGTTATATCGTCTGAAGGAGGCTTCGTGGAGATTTATAGAAAAAATAGGTTCAGATGATTTATAAAAGTTTTGTGATAGTGGGTTTAATCAGCCTTTCAAAAAACTGGAGCTGACTTCACTTTATAGAGGACTTTCAACCATGAGTTGAAAAGTAGAAGACTAGTCCCGCACCGGAAAAATTTGTTTATTTTTCGGAACCTTCGAACTCGAGCAGAAGTCTATCGTCTGGGATAACAGCAGCAACAGAACGCGCAACCGTTATAGGGAGATTAACTAATCAGCGATCAGTGACGCAAATCTGGAGGCGGCTGAATAGGACACCATATGAGACGTCAGATCGAGAGGTCGATCCACTCAGTCCTCATCCGAAACCCGGCCTTTTATCAATTCTTGGCGTGTTTTGCCTTCAGTATGAGGCTGAGAGGTTAGACTCGTGGTCATTTTCGGAGACGTGGGCAGATACTTGCGATAATTCGTCAACCGGTCTTACAACCAGTTGACGTTCGTGAATGCACGAGAAAAATTCCCAAGAATTTACCTTCTGCAATGAATATCTGCCCACGCATGCTTCGAGCGCATTTACATTTGTGCCTTAAGTTAAACACTTAGACCTACAAATGTGGCCCTGCACGACATAAGTAGTCGGCCCATCACCAAAGCATTTATATTTAACTTTTTCGGTAAAGTGAATTGTCATAGTCGAAAAATACAGCATTTGGTTAGTAGACGGATCCCAACAGATTTATACAATGAAGATTTTAGGTTGTCGGCCATCAGGACACTCGTGTGCACTGACTTAACTGTTAAATCAGTTAAAAATACTTTAATAAATTCATTTGAAAAGTCAGGTTGGCGAACACGCGTTTTCGGTAATCCTTCGTCAGGCCAATACAATTACATGAAGGAATGAAAATGTACAAAATCAACAGTGTTTATAGATGTCTCAAAGGCTATTAAGTCACTAACACTCATCATCCCCACGCCGCCCGCATGAGAAGGTGGGCGGGTGTTAGTCGTCAGAGCTAGGGGAGGGGGGTAAGAGAGTCTTTGAGTGATGTTCTTGGATTGAGTACACGGAGTATCCATCATCGTGATTAGGGATTTGAGGCAGCATGGCTTCATCACTTGGGGTTGGCGTTGGCCACGGCAAAGAAAGCGCTTGTGACAGAGTTTTCGGACAGCATAACACCGGATTCGCTAGCCGTATAGCTACTGCCTCGGCCGTTGCTAGTATCCGTTGGCGTAGGCCTTTAGAGAAGCATGTTGTTGTCCGGTAGACAACCTGAAATGCTTTCTTGGCACCGACTCGGTGGTTCGTATCGATTAAATGTGCGAGAATAGAACTCGAAATCGACCGGATCTCACCTCTGTCTAGCCAGGCGGGCATATGTTCACGCACCCTCTTTACCAGGCGTCTCGTTGCGCGGCCGGTGTATCCTGCTCCACAGAAGCAAGTAAATGAATAAATGTACATTTATGTGGCCTCCAACGGTAGTCTGTCTTTACCTCCCAAACGTAGGAGGGGAGAGTTCGTGAAGCATACGCGTAAATTCGCCGCAGGGAATGCCCTCGTGATAGCTGTAGTTAGGCGCCGTCGGACTAGTTCGCTCTCTGCGTCTCCTGCAGAAGGCAATCTTATGAATACACCTTTCTTTTCCGCAGTCGAATCAGTCGGCTTTTCGGCGCGTTCCCCAATATTTCGGAGGATAAATCTATCTGGGTATCCGTTCTCCCGAAGTGTGTTCCGCAACTGTTGAAGTTCTTCTTCAATAGCTTCAGGTGAGCAGATGCGTCTCACTCTAGCCGCCAATCCCTGGACTAAATTCCGTTTGATGTTGAGGGGGACAAAACTGTGGAAATTAACGTATTGTCCCGTCCAGGTTTTCTTTCGGAACACCCCGCGCTGGATAGACCCATCCTCTTGCCTGTGCAGAAGGACATCGAGAAAGGCAAGTTCGTTATCTGCCTCGGTCTCTGCAGTGAACTTAAGCGAGGCGTGCGCACTGTTGAACTTTTGGACAAGCTCCCCGGTATCGGTGGTACCATCCGCCAGGCAGAAGATATCGTCCACGTACCGACCGTAGAAGACGAGGTCATTAATGGTCTCTTGCAAGCTTGTTTTCTCGACTTTGTCCATAAAAACATTTGCAAGGAACGGTCCAAGCGGTGATCCCATTGCCACACCTTCTACCTGCCTGTATAGTTGACCATTGCACAGAAATTGGACATTTTGTGTTCAAAGCGTCAGTAGTTCTTTTAGCTTTTTCACAGGCATGTCTATGGGGTAGTTCGTATCACGAATAACATCACAAAGATAGGTTATTGTTTCTGCCACGGGTCCGTTGGTAAACAGCGATGATACATCCAGTGATAACATCCTCCGTCCGCCAACGTTCATATTTTTGATAGCTTCGACGAACTCAAAGGAGTCTTTTAAACTTCGAGGGTATAGGTAACTTTGCAATGGCTTTAGTCTTTCCACTAGTCATTTTGCAACGGTATGATAGGGCAAATTTCCCATATCCACGATTGGACGTAGAGGCAGCCCTTGTTTGTGAATTTTAGGAAGGCCGTACATTCTTGGTATTGTCGAGCCCACCGGTCTCAGTCGTTCATACTCTTTGCTAGACAAATGGCCTTCTCTGCAGAGATCTTTGAGAAAAGTCGTCAGCTGACCCTCGACAGCCTCCGTGCGATCCTTATCTTTCTCAGATTTTGAGAACTTGAAACGACCCGACCTGTCCTCATTGCTACCGTGCCTTCGCCTCACACGTCGGCTTGGTCAGTCACATGCGAATCCACCTCACAGAGACTGGCCAGCCAGTGGCTGGAATATCAACCTACACTAGCCGCATCCGCCTCCACTGTCCACATTGCATTCGTACATTCATCCATCGCATGGGCCTATCAGTCCACATGCGCATTCACGAAAACCTGCCGTAGACAAACGCAGGCTAAACCACACCATCACATTTACCTCCAGTTGGATCGCACAATAGCATCACCCATTACAAGCATCCGATTGCCACCTCCCACGCAAGTGAGTAATGTGCGTCTCAGCTCCGTCCACATGCGGCCCCTCTGCTGGATGCGTGATTCGAGTCTAAGACTATCAGGGCGCGTCAAGCACAGTGGCTTGGAAGGCTGCTGGCTGACGTCCCAACACAGTCCATGCAGCCTGCCCAGTTGTGTACGTGTGGAGTGGCCGATTGGTGGGCTGAGAACCAGACTGAAGCGACTCCTTCCTAACGTGACCTACGGCACTGTCACGCATGCGAGATGTATGCCATTTAACCCTCGTTGTGTGAAATCGTGGTGCTTGTTTTGAGGGTGGGAGGGGGCAGACAATGTGGCACGTACATACAAGTTCACTAGATATGTCAGCCACTGTGCCCATTCCCCTCACCTGTTAACTGACCGGCTTGGACAGTGACTGAGGCTTGGCAATGGGAATAGAGAATGAGGTCGACGACTCAGCACACGTTCCATACTACAAGCAAGGTAATGTGTTTGAAACTATCACGGTGCGTTAGCAGCTGTGTTTTGGAAGGCTGCCAATTGTCAGGAAAACTTGGACCTCGCAGATAGTCCAGTGTTGTGTGTTTGTGTTGAGCGGCCGACTGGTGATCTGAGAGTCAGACTACAATGGTCCTTTTTAATGTGGCCTTTATGGCACTCCCACTCCGTGGGATCCGATCCGGGTGTAGCGGCACGCCTAGGGGCGGATCCGGTCGCACCAGCTCTCTGTACCCTCTCCCACACCCCGGTTTTCTCGATTATATCTAGTCCCAACCGAGGCGCTGTGGGGAGGGGGGCGAGTTTGGCGGATACTGTGTAAGTCTGCAATCACTATAAGGGAAGTCGCAAGCAAGTCACCGTGCATGTTCTTACCCTTTTGTGCAGCGCATGGTGGGCATGCCCATGCTGCAGCGTCGGCAGCGATAATCTAACCCTCTTATGCGAAAGCGTTTTTTACATCCCTGGAATCTACAAGACAAATCAAGCTTTTCAGTCCTGTTTACGTATTTTTTTTTAATGTAGGCTTTGTTGTCCGTTTTTAGCTTTTAGACGCGCAGCTTACTGTGAAAGTGCAGCGAAATGTTCGCGCATCTTATTAAAGTCTTCACGTCAGACCTCGTGAATCTTGGCCCACTGAACGCCTCCGTAAAATAAAATAATCAGTATCAGTGTGTTCCGCCCGTATAGCGAAGGGCTCTTCCATAGCCAATTGTTTCTCACGCCTTTCGACAATATGTCTGCTGAGCAACCGAGTAAGCCAGTTTATTTTAAGAAAAAATTATTCTAGAAGGTTTCTCCCACATCTTGGACAAGCTTCCACCCCACGGTACGTATTTATTGGTCTTATTAGACGGGTTGAGTGCAGTAATTGCCGTGTAAAAATGCACGGGATTCTTTGCCTTAGCTATAATAGTATGCGGTTTTGCATGTTGTCTAAACGTCCTCAGTAACCTACTTTTTTCTCTGAAACACTATTTGCGGTATGTTAGCCTTGTTAATAGCCGATCGTGTATTTCACGGACTAATGACTTCATGAGCTGCACTCTTTTGGACGTTTACTGCATGGAATTTCCCCGTGACTCTCAGACTAAACACCCGTTGGTTTTCTTCTCTAATTGTCAAACGTTTTACCGAGTAATTCGTTGGTAGTTATTCGAAATTAGGATCTTCTGTTACAAGGTTTCAATAATTACTCGCCATTTATCACTCAAGAGTCCATTGTGCGAAAGTACAATTTAAAAATCATGCAACTACCTCGGGTACAACACCTCAGAGTACACACCCAAAAGTAGGTTGCATATTATCCGTATCTGCGTTCACACTATGATGCAGCATGAGTCGAGTAAACAAACGAAGCCCTCGCTGCTAAGGAGTAAGGGCTGTGTCTCTAGGCACCTGCCTAGCTGTAGATTATGGGTAGAGAGCACAAACTAAACTGTTTGACACTACCTTTGAGGTTTGCATTTCTTGGTCGAAGTTCGATCAGGGGCCTACGGCATTCAGATAAAAATGTGTATAAAGAATGCTGAGCCTTTTTTGTTTATTGCTTTGTGCGAACATGAAGCGTTTTTGCAGTATCCCACAGTCACTTTTCACACAGTTTCTGATCTGATAAAGTCTCGATTTCTTGGCCCACAGTAGAGAAGACGCACAGGTTTGCCTCTTCCTTCATACATAGGTTTGAGTTCGAGCGTGTAGTTAGTAGGTATGACGATCAACAGCAGCGACGAACAAAGTCTGGTTAACTGCAGTCATCTTCTATTATTTCCTGTAGTGCAACATCCCTTAAATTATGCAGAAAGTCCGACTTGCTGTTCAGTAGCAATACCACATGATAAACTTGTCAGTTCTTACAGACTGGTGATTGTTTTTAACTGTTTAGAAGGCCTTGGTTGTATCAGACAGGACGCTCTTACCACGTTCGCCGCCTGCAATGCCCGCTACGGATATTCACAACTCTTAGGACATTTACAAAGCACATTCGGTCTGTAGGACGTTCGTGTTAATCGGCGTTCGACTGGCCGTAGTTTTGGAAGTGACACTGACTGTCGCATGCATTGCTCGCCGTTCTTCCGCGCTCTGTCCCAGCTGGGATAACCAGACGGCACTTAATTGCAAGTTCACAATGGTCTGGCGCCAGTCCTGTGGTTATAATAAGGTACCTAAGGAAGGCCGTATGCAATAAGTTCTGTCCGCATCGGTCCGTTCCGAGTGAGCTAACTTGCGCATTAATTTAACTGATGCCATCATGACTGTGTCCATACGTTGCGTCGTTCCAGGGCCAAGGTTCGGTGTATGTGTACGATGCCTTACGTAGGCGAGTGTAGACTGCTCATTTATTGCGATGGGAGTTTTTATATTGTTTTAACTATGGATGTTGAAGCACTCACGCGTATATTTATCTACCTATCCTTCGGAACAGAATTCAGATTGTTGCTAATGCTCCCATGCCCTGGGATACTTCCAGGTATCTGACGCCCGCTACAGACGCCAAATATCCTGTATTCGCCGTTTTGGCGCTCGGCTTGAGGCCAGATTCACGAACACTACTGTCGTCGACTGCGAGAATATTCCCATTTGACAGTTGTCTGCGTAGGTTTTGCCTGGGAAGTGTTTCGAGTCAGAACATAGTTGCTACATTTAGGAGACCATCTTAGAATGACCGCATCTATCTGTAGCCTCGCATTCTTGACTCGCATAGTCTCTAGGTGGTGTCTTCGTACCGAAGGATGTATCTGTTAAGTAAATGATATGCAGTCCTCAGTAAGATAATGCGACTGCCTAATAAAGACAGAAATGAGTCTGATTGCCTGGCAGACCCACTGGATATATCTACATGGTTTATATAGCCGTCCACTAATCAGTTAAAAGGACTGTCTAAGTACTCTTATGTTCTTGCTGATAGTTCTCCATTCAACCGACCGCAAATTTAAATCTCCAGCGACTGAACTTGTTCAATAAGGAGTTAGTCGTCATGACCGGCCGACTTAGAACTGCCATAAGTAAGCAGCAATGTCTGTGAGTTTTCAAACTAGCCGTCAAGGTAAACATGGTTTCGAGCGGTGTATAAGGGGACCAGGAATAATTGGGGAGTTTGATTTCCCGTATATCGACTACTTGTCTGTCCACCCTAAGAGAACCATTGCGATCTGGCCTGGAGAACGACTGCGTTATCCTGTCATTTTCAAGGTACGACCTTACGTGCATGAAGATTTAAAAACGCGATGAATTTCCTACATTGAAGTAATAAGCACTTTATCAACTGTAGGCGAATAAACAAGAGTCGACTTAACTTCCTCTCCCTTCTTGCACAATTCCCTAGTGACAAGCTTTACTTAATACGGTTGGGGGTCAAACTAGGCGTAGGGGCCAAGTTAGCCCTCCACCTAACGCGTGTCGTATGCCCTCTTAGTCCCCTTTGTGTCTTGCTGAATTCTGGTCCGTTAGGTAGGTCAAATAACAACTGCGCCTGACTTAATACGGATTGCCAGTTGATGAATTTCGGCAACTTTGCTACTAAGCCTGCAGACTGTTTGTACAAATACTCAACCGACCAGGGTTGACTGGTTCTCACAAAAGGACGTTTGATTCAGTGCCGTGCAAATGTGGCAACTTGGAACGATCACTCGAGACATTAGATTGTTTTCTGCGTCCGAGATGACTCAAAGTTTGCGGTGGTGTGTTTACGAAAACCCACGTCACTCGATTGGTATATTCTTTAAAAGGGCGACTGGGCTGCAGCCCTGCACATATACTACAACACAGACGTCATAACTTGACTTTTACTTCGTGACTCTTGTATCAGAACACTCGACCGGCAGCAAGATAAGCATTATGCGCATTTTTAACGCATGTTACCATAGCTTGAGGATAACCCTGTTCTAACGACGCTATTCTTGCAGACACATCCACAGGGGGATTTATTTGCCATGATTCGAGCTATACGTTATTCTGGTCAATTCTGCATATTAGTAAAAGTATTTTCTGCACACCACATAACGACCAGTGTCTGAAAGCCTTTTGTCTTTCTTTACAATAATTAGTTGTACTAATGTTTCCACACGTCATGCGGGGTCAGCAGTCATATAGTTTTATTTTATTAGGAGAGTGGCCTCCCACCGCTGGCGAATACTCATCAACGAGATTGCGAGTGTCTTTAGTGTTCCGCGCAATTGACCAACTTTTTAAATAAAGTTCATTGCGAAGACTTTGATAAGTGAATGTCCTTCAGCATTTGGCATTAGTTAAAACTGACGATATAAACAACTTCAAGAAAGGCATGGGAAAAACGCTTAGAAAGAATTTACTGCCAGACGGACAGCTTGAAATTCTAAACCACGTACTGGACCCCACAGCTTCCGGGTCATAGACAACCAGGATTTCTGGTTACACTAGCCGTTCGTCACGCCAATCAATCCGATAAGGTTTGCTCTAGCTACGGGCAGAGTTTTACAACAAAACGTCCTGGTGCACTATTTTCTGACGCGCAGAGCACCATCTGGCCGAAGCATTACTCATTTTTCTACTTCCAACTCACAAGTTACCTGACCTCCGTTTGAATCTGTAGTTTTGACAAAATTATGCTGAAGGGTATTTTAATTGCAACGAATTGCGTATTATACGCACGTGGAGGTAGTTCTAGACCCCTGTACCAGTTTCTTACGGAGCGACGAGTCAACCATTGTGACCTTCAGGGGGCCCATGTCTCCTCATATTTGGAAACCTGACGCACTCTGTTTTATCTACCCCCGTTATCAGTGTGCCCGTGAAAATTGCTTGTTAGCTGTACAAAATGCTAAATTGACCAAATATCTGCCTTCCAAACATTTCAGTGAAGCCCCTTGTGTATTGGGAAAACCCCATCAAATCAGCCATCGTTATGGTTGCCGGCCTTACCATCCTCCTCAGCGTCGGCTGCCTCTCCATGGTCTCCGTCTTCGCCTACTTTTGCTTGGCCATCCTTTGTTGCACAGCCGCGTGGCGTGTTTATTACGACCTAGTTGGATCGAAAAAGACTGACCCATCGTCAGTACCCCCTAAACCCTTCAAGTAAGCTCGTTGCCGTTGGCAATGAATTCTGACACCAACTAAGCTGATGGAGCTTAAAATCTCCCATCTGCCAACTATTCTGCATTTCTGTCACGTCCTTCGTCAATTCAAACAGGCCACTGATTCAGTTCCGAAATTTCTTTAGTTTTTTAAGGTTATTTTACTTGCGTTTTATGAATGACCGAACTGGGCCATGCAAAAGATTGTGTCGCAAAACTGCAGTGCATAACAGTCGAGGTCTTTGACACGGAAATTCAGTGTTGCTTTACTATCCGAGTTGAGGGAAGATGGGCTGTCCGTCAGCCTAGCTGCCGGCTATCCGGCGCGTCCACAGGTGGCGGATAGTGGAACGGCCTTCAGTGAAGGTTAGTCGCAAAATAAGCAGACCCAAGTCTGACGAATAAGCAGTCGCAGGATACCCTATACTAGGGCTCTATTCATCTTACAATTGACGCACTGGAACTAAAACGAGAAATAGAACAGAAGAAGATAAGATGGAAATTTTCCGGGGCATAAGTTAATATGACACCTATCTTCACGGAGGGGAATAAGGCAAACTGCGAAAACTACTGCGACATAAGTCTCATCAACGTTCCTGTAAAGGTCATCGTCATTGTCATTCTCGAGCAATATCAGAATTTGCGTGAGTCGAGGACGCCGCCCAACCATCCGGGTCCTGAGCTGCACGTGAATGTGCCGACCAGATATTCACACAGTGGCGCATTCTTAAATCCGCTATGGTTACTAACACCCAACGAGCGTGTTTCGTTGATTATTCTGTCGTCCTCGTCCATTATCCGTTGCTGTGGCAGATAATAAAACTATGGTATGCCGACACAAATGCTCGCCTTGATCATGGCCGGTAATCGCTCCACCACCACGAGTTCTAGCCTACAACATTCCGCTAGCCTTTTGATATTCGGTCTGGCGTTCGACAAGGTCGTACTCTGTTGCCCATTCTGTTCAATTTCGTCGTCAACTAAATTTTTGGAAGAGCCCTACACGGCTTGGATAATGTCGAATTTCTACCAATGTACTTGCAGATTGATGTTGACTACACTGACAATATGGTCCTTCTGGCATTAAGCTTTTATGGCCTATAGGACGTAATGCCACGGGTAAAGGTGGTTGTTTCAACGGTTGGTTTGTCCGCCTACATATTGGGAGGCACGAAATTGCTTCGAGTTCCATTTCTGACAAGTGTACTGCTAAGAATGGCTAGCTTAGCGAAATAACCGGTTTCAAACGCTTCACACAAAGAAGCTAGCAGGTGGACTTAGTTAAATTGACGTTTTCTTCCTAATTGAAACTGCTCGCAGGATTTTTGCATTCCTTAGAAAGTTTCAATTAAGCCAACGTGATATTGCCACCGCCAAAAAAGTCTGCATGTGCCGGGCATCTGTCCGTCCAGTTCTGTGCAGTTGTTTATGTCAGGTTAAGCGCGTGGGAGATGGACGAAAACTAGAGGTGTTTGAACCACCGTCGCTTGGGAAACGTTCTTCCAGTGGATTTTATCGACTTAATCTCAAATGAGACTGCGCTCACTGCGACAGCATCACGAGGATATACCTGACCATCCTAGAAAGACGACTGCTGTGGTTTAGACACGTTCTTTATCGCCTGCACAACGAGTTTAGTGTTACTGCCCTCGACCCACTGCCGCCGCCCACCTGGAGTCACCCAGGTCAGCTCCAAACCTGACTGAATACGGAGGTGGCTCCTGGAAACCAGTCCATAGTCCCCTTCTGGCCTCCTCGATGTGGTTTTGTCATCCTCATTGCATCGGACTTTATACACAACTGCGAAGCTTCGGCCAGCGACATCATGCAATGAATTGTAGGCCGTGCCTATCTCTGGGGCCGTCGGCGACCGGGAGGCCGTCCCATGGACTTCCTTGATGTAAGTTAATGTCCTCCACACTTGGCTGCCGTTCTTTTGGCCGTCCGCCCGCAGTTATACCCAAACAGCGGTTCGACTTTTGCGAACGACGTCTTCCGCCTGTCCCACGGAGTGGGCGCAGCATTGACGACATACTCATGAATTCGTTTATAGCAAGACGGGTTTGTGCAGCATCTACCGCACTCTCATCCCTCATCCACTTTGCCCTGGTGGCAGGACAAAGCAAAAGGACCCTTCTTCGCATTCCACACGACTTGATCCCACTATATTTCAGCCTTTTATAAGGGCGGCTTAGATCTCACATGAGGGAGCCATTGCAACCTGACCTAGTCCTGGGGAGGACCGTGTTTTCCCGTCAGCCCTTGTAAGCCACGACGTCGTGGTTGATTTAAGCGCACCAGGTTTGTTATAGTGAAAGGTGCGCTGATTTGTCGGGGGGGGGGATTCTCCAGTGTCGGCCTCACCTTTTTTTATCTCACATGCACCATTCGACTGTTAATGAGCTGGTGCTGAAGTTGGACGCAGAGGCTGGCTGGGCGTGAGGGCCTACGTCTAGGCTCGCCACCACACCTCTCTCATGTACGGCAGCAGTTATGGTCTTCCGCGCACTCTGCGCAGCCCAATATAAACGCCTGCCGCAAGCCAGTCTGATCCCCGTTCTTGCGGCGCAGCCCCTTGTGGGGACCAGTGTTATGCACCTACAGGACGGCGACAAACAAGCGAAACATTGGAAAGATCGATGGCGGGTCACACGACTCAGAAAATCGTGTGAATTTCATCTTTTTTTGCGCAGCACATGTATTGGCAGCAAAATGACAGACCCGGCTATTTGAAATGTCGTCTGGCTATTAAGAGTGTTCCTTTTCGCCCTCGAACTATCCTTCTGGGACCTTCGCCTTTGCTCATTCTTAAGGCCGCCTTATCGGTTGAGGTGACTGAAGCTCCACATCGCCTATTTGTTGAGGATGAAGTTTTCTGATTTGGCATTCGCCTAGCTCATTTGACATAAAATCGAGGTTGGAAGCGTTCCATCTCTCCTACGTTCTGCTCCGAGTAAAACCAAATGCACTGAATCGGTATCACGACATAAAAACTTAGGGCAAAAAAGTCGAGATTGTCTATACCCAAATCTTTGGTAGGTAATATGCTCAAGCTTTGAAACTCTTCAACAACATCTTCACCTGTGTCTACTCGTTCCACTTCTTAGTGTGCCCTATTTCTACTTCGTTTAGTGATTTCTTGTCGGGCGATGTCGTTGTTCCACGTGAGCGTGTCGACCACTACGTGAAGCTTGCTTTGGACCATTCCTCCGACCTCGCCAACTATTTCAGGCATGCACTTCTTGTAGAAAACTATTTGGACTCCTTGAAGGTAATGCTGCAAGTATTGAAGGCCATTTGTATACACGTCTGGGAATGCCCATACCCATAGCGACTTACTTTTGGGCTGAGGTTAAATCAAGCCTGTTTCAGATCTGGGTTCACCACACCTTTATGTGAGCGGTCAGTGAGCTCGTTATTATTTGTTGTATACACAGGCAATGGCTTCACCATACTCCTGACATGGGAATCAGCTAGATCTCAAACATCCGTTTAGCCGACTTCTGCAACTTCATGTTGCAGCCCATCTCAGTCCCACAAGCATCCCAGATGGTTTATTGTATAACTCTGACTAGAAAATTGTGCCTTTTCATTCCTTGGAAAAGTGTCGGAAGGAATATAGTATTCTGAGCTGGATATCACGGGGGTTAATTTAATAGCGTCTCTCCCGAAAACAACTTAATTTTTTCGATCATCGTTACGGCTTTTGGCCGTCAGTTACCTCTTACGTCGTACTCGTAGTCTGTTCCATGTGCACTCCAAATACTTCTACAACTAACAAAGGTTACATATCTACTGTTTGACACTCCTCTTTCGATCGCAATCATTGTAGTCGTAGCCTCGTGCAGGGATAGGGCGTGGTTTAGTATGAAAGTCCTTTTGAGGTCGCCTGAGGAGGTATAGTAGTAACTTTGCTGCCACCTTGTCCGTTTATTTTTACAGAAACAGCCCCACCATCAACTTCCGAGCATCACTCTACTTTACGTCCTTTGCAAGTTAACGTTTTTTCTCTTCCAGTTTGGTCTATACATGTACATGCTCTCCATACTCGGCGGATTTTTCAACCTGATCACTCTGGTCACAATTGGTAAGCACATTTCTTGAACTTCAGGGCTATTCAATCGCCCCTTCATTACATGTTCACCAACGGGGAAATTTGCGCCCCACATCCGCACCAGTTTTCACACTTCATATCATACTTAATTTTCTGTTTTCAGCCTTCGTCCTTCTTTTCATTCTGCCGAAACCATATAAAGTATATCAGGTGAGCATCACAACTTTTAGCCAATAGGGAGCTTTCGCGCACACTTTATCCCTTTTTTTACCTCGCAGTAAAGTGAAAAACTGGATTTTCCAGTGTATAGGTTTCTCTCAAACCTCCCGGTCGATAGGCGACATGCCAGTAACTATAGATTTATTTTTGCCCTTTTGGACATCTGCCTTAGAAGGTGGCAGATCATCAATGCTTACTCTCATGCCCTGTGGGCAGTACAAGCATTTTTCCTTTATATTTTCTTTTGAAGACTGAAGTAATGAGGTATATTCAGTCGTCTGGTGGAGGCTATTTAAAGTTCGGTCTCACAATGAGCATTTTCTCACCGGCGGCCATCTGGCCCTACCTATAACAACAACAGGATAGGCAAAAACAGAAGTGTATCGATGTTGACTAGAGTAATTACTTTTTGATCACTCAAGGGCTCACCAAGTTGACCATTCCGTGCGATTTCACTTTGCCTGGCACTGCGCCAAACTCATCCTGCTTGTTTCTCTGCCAGCCCTCCGCCACCCCTTAGATTTGCAAATTCTGACACGAATTTCTTTTACGATTTATTTTTTGTTGACTTTCTAGTCTCAAATCGACGGGGCCATCAATGCTGCCCGTAAGCGATGCGACGACTTTTCGAGCAAGTAAGCTTAGGTCGAATTTTCTGCGCCCATTTCATTTCTGGTCACTTTCATCAGGAAACCAGTCATAAGTTGCCATTGTCACTGGATGATTAGTCATTATTCCCTCTCACTTGACGGCCCGTCTTAGTAATGTTAGCTCAGTCTAATCACATGTTTTTACTAACCACGGGAGACTTACATTCATTGGATAATTGCTTCGAAAGCTGAAGTAGCCAGTACTTTTCGTTATCAGTAGCTAGTAACCGCAGTTAGACAGAGGACGTGCATTCAGTTGTCAGCGGTAAGTCGGCATTTGCGGGGGTACTATTCCTAGAGCAACTAACACAGGACGTCTTACATCATTGGCCAACTTTGCCATGTGAAACTGTCTGCATAAAAAGTGCCGGATTAGGGCTTCTATATGTACTCTTCATCAGTATCCTCACATCCCTGCCTGCGTTACTAAAACCTGTCCGAGAAACCCCAAGCTTGCGTATTTCATGTTTGCACTGTTGAGGTAATTTTAGTAATTTCCACTATACGGCATCTGCATAATAGATTTTTGATCCTAACAAAGGGATCGAAATTGAAATCAAACATTTGTCAGTTTTTTTTAAAATTTAAATCAGATCGCCTTATCGTTTTCACCACGGGTTTTTATCACCGTCTGTGGAGCCTCGTCTAATTTGGCCGTGCGCTTTTCGGCTCGTAGTGTAAACGGGATAGAATCACTTAAACCGAAGATAGTTTGTAATTCCCGTTTTGCCGTAATCCCACCCAAACCTGACACTTGTTGCCTGGACCCGTGTCTATATGACTGATAATGACTACCTTGAGATGAAACCGGGCGCGTTAAACTCGAATCATACAATCTTGGTCTCCAACGGCTGCCTCGACTTAAGCCACGTTGGCCTTTGCTGCTCATATGCTCCAACGGGCTTACCATTGACGTCAGGCTACCTCCCAATCCACAACGCCACCCGGTCGTTAAAATTTACCCGCCCGTCAAGCAAACTCCGCTCACCAGCCGTTTGAAGGCCGTCAGTGGCGAAGTACCAGAAAGATTAACGTTTTCAAACGGATTGTCATTGGGGAATATGGCACGTGGACAGATTATGAGTCTGCATTTTCCCGATATACATTTGAATCCTCACCTTGCGCTGCCCTCCGCTGTCGCATTTACAATAAAAGGGCGCTGTGATTACCATATTTTGGCCAACGTTATTGCCGATGTTTACCTGAAGTCTGACACGAACGTCTGGGCCTTTTTATGTTGTTGCTCCATCCGCCTGGCCTCGGCAAACCGAATGTGAACGTCATCGTACACCCCGAGCAAACAAGCAAAGAAAATGTGTGCAGTCCTTCAGATTCAACTGCTGTCCACCAAGTGCATCTATGGGACTAGAGTCGTGAGCGTACATTAGTCACCAGGATAATCAGGTTACGTTTGGAACAATAGTTTAAGGTGGGAATACCATAAGGAGGGATTTATTATGCACATAGACCCTAACTTCTCGTTCAGGCGACAGTGCCATTGCCGGTGAACCAGGGCACGCGACACCAGCGTTAAGTCGTGCCTAAAGAGGATTGAGTATGTTGTCGACCATTCTTCTGGATTTGTGAAGGCAAGGTCAAGGATATTGTGTCTGAGTGACGTGTTGCATTAGCAAAGGAGATGATCGCCGACCCGGACGCTTTTTTCCGGTGCGGCCAGTCGCCTAAGTTGTTTGATCAGCGTGTCTAACGCTGGGGCGTCTGAGATGGCGTGTGGTGGCCTTGTTTTGAGCGCGTTCGCAGCAGTGAGTTGCCTTGGCGCTGCGAGAAGGGGCGATGGGTAGCGCCATAATGTCATCTCTTGCACTCTTCACAACTGGGCAGGGCCTTCTCACCTACCGCCAGCTTGTTTAACAGAACAGCCAAACCGTCCGACGTATGTAACTCGCATAACCTGGTATGTTACTATCTCCAAGCTTTTAAGAGGCGGAGCGCGCGTTTCCAGATGTATCACTGGAGCTAGTAAGCCTATAGACTACGACTTCTTATAGATACCAAGGGTTTCCAGCCGCAGTGCACCATCACTTGTACTGTCGGTTAATAAGACGCCTCCATTAATATTCTGAAGGGCATGTGTACTCTCGGCCGAGTTACTACAGTTTGCATTTGCTGTCGTTTCTTAGTTGCACCCGTTTATAATTAAATTGGGACGTCCATCCCTGCGAAGGAGAGCACACCGTCATAGTGTGAGTTCCTTAGTCGTAGGGTCCAGCACTTGATGGTCTTCTTTTCCCCCAATTACAACACGCCGTCGTGACAGGCTTACATTAACTTTGATCGAGGCATCTACCATTCATTCTATTACGAGGCCGTCCGTAAATCCCGCAGCCATTATCCCTCTAGTTTTTTAGAGCTAATCTGCGGACCGTTCACGTCCAATGAGTTTATAGCGAAAAGAAAACAAATATTTGTGCTCCTACCTGGGAAGAAATGATCTTTCCGTCCGTCACAATTCTGGTTATGTAGGACCACCATCTCCTTAGGAGGACGAAATACGGGATTTTGCTGGCTGGATTATGGTTTTTACGCCCGCTAAAGACCTCTTTCCGTCCTGTACAAGCAAACGGTATGTTTTTAATCAGGAAATTGGTGAAATGGGCACATTTCTTTGATGTACCCGAATTGACCTTCACAAGTCCGCAGACAAGCTTAATGCGATAGGTGGTCCGAGTTGTCGAACCTCGTGTCGCAGCCAACCCCAGATTTGCTACTGAGGGCTAAGATCGCGGGATTCGATAAGTCAGCGAATCAGTATTCACCCGGTAGTCATCGATAATCGTGACATATTCCTTCTCATTGGTACCCCGGTGCCCTTTAACACTTGGGTGATGAATGACTAGGTCCTTTGCTGTATTTGTGTACATTTCTGTCCATGCATGCAGTAGCCCTTCACTCGCTTGAGTCGTTCCCTGGATGCCCCGCTGTTTTGTCAACTCCGACTTTATCCAAACAAAATCTATAAGGATTGTTGTATTGACTACATCCCACAAAAACCCAACGGAGTGTTTGTCTTTTGGTGACTTCTTTGTCCCGACACCATATTAAGCGGTAGGGAGTGGTTCTTAGCAATCATGGCTAATTAGCCTTCTATTCAAAAGAGAGACCCAATAAAACTTGCCAGATAGATCTATAAGGCTCAGGAATGAATCGTAGCGATAGTTAATCCGTCGTAATCAGCAGTGGACACCCTCTATTAGCAAAGAATCTGGTCACTGTGCAGTGTTGTAGCCTCACAGTGCAAACCTAAAAACACCCCTGGCTAATTGAAACATCAGACCTCATTTTAGCTCTCTTTATCGATCCTTGTTAACAAAAACCACAAAAGCAAATGTGCATAGTCACCGTTTATTCCAACCCTGGGCGAAGAGACAAGACCAACTCGATACGGAGCCCAATTACCTCGCTGAACATCTAATCCTGCCTGCCTGTACGTTGAGAACTATTAACTCATTAGCGCTATTATTTCCATTTTCGCTACTTTGCGCACGATTGACCAAACAGAAACGAAGACAGGGCGCAACCGAGATAGAACAGTTTGGTTTTTAATTTGTTTCGGGTTCTAAGTGACCTGACAGCGCCTGGGAGACAAAAATTGATCTGTTGCTGGTCATCTCGAACCCCGTGTGCAACCGCCCGGAGGTGTCAGTGTTCATTGTGGACGCCAAAGACCCGTAGTTTGAGAATCAGCTATCCCCCATCACCTCCAAACTAGAAAAAATTGCTGTTCACGATCCTAACAACGAAAGCATTCAGTCGAGACACTGACAGCTGGTTCTTTATTATCCGATATGCAAACGGTCGGGCTTGTCGGTGATACCGAGGCACATTCTAGTCAGTCTTCAAATCGCGAAGATCAGTCGCCACAGGTTCGCCATTTGCCGTTCTTTCGTAATCTGCACTGCCAAACATTGGCGGTAAATACTACCCTCTATAGTGCCACGTATCATGACGTTTAATTGGTTCGCGCACCCTTTGCCGAATTCAAATCTGGTGTGCTTTTTAATCAATAGACAGTTCATTTCGAAATTGATTTCTTTTAGCAATCAGCGCTTTCGTAGTTTTTATTGCAGCTGCTTGAGTGCACTCTGTTGTGTTTTTGCACTTTGAATGACACATACGAAAGCGGCGTTACTCGAATCTCGAAAAATCGTGCACTGTAGTAGCCAGTAGTGTGGTCAGAAAACTGTCAATCATCCTAAACTTCTACTTTATCGTTTTTTTTCAGAGTTAAGACCCTATTAGAAAAAGTGCCAGGACTGCGCAAGGCCAAAACAAACTAAGGAAGACTGCAAACAACCCCCCCTGCCAGCAAACTGGAAGTACGGGTGCACAGGATAGCGAATTTGCATCCCTCTTCACTGTCCTACTCATCCGACGCCGCTGTATTATATCATTATCCCTGATCTACCGATCGGTGTTTTCAGCCAACCAAAACTAACTCATAAATTTGCCTCATTTTGATAATCGTATACAGCGACAAGACTGTTTGTTCTAGACTGTTGTCACGCCCTCCGTCTATTGCTCTTCATTTATCTTTCCCCTCGACCCCTTCCTTTCCCCCGCCCTCGCCTTGTGAAATCGTACATGCGTAATTAGCACCGCTGTAGCAAACTCGTTCCTCTATTTGTTATTCTTCCTTTTCACCATTGTCACGCTCTGCCGAACTCCGCTCCTCC